TTATTAGAAAGAGGTACGAGGCAACTAAGTAAGTGCTTTAATTGTTTAATTGATTTTATGATATAGAAATCATGTTTAGGTTGTTATTATGATTCCTAGTATCATGTTAGGATGCTTGATGTTTTGAATGACAACAATGATTCCTAGTATTATGTTTAGGGAAAAGGTTATAATATTAAATATGCTTATTATGATACTTGCGCTGCTTCCTATATTCTTTCCTAATATTCATGTTAGTATCATGTTAGGGCTAATATTTAATCTTTGATGTTTAGTGACATGCTAGGGTTTGTTATTAATCTTGTTAGTATCATGCCTAGGATCTTGCTATTATGTTTTAACATGATTATTATTTATAATAATTATTTTTATGATTAATATTATGTTGCTTGATATTTATTGTTATTGCTTGATCACACCTTTTATGCATGTTTAAAGGGAATTCGTACTTGTAATCACGCTTAATAAGATAATTAATAATCTTGTTTAGGGTTAATTTGATTATAATTCAAGTGATCGCCAATAATAGTTTTGTTTGTGCATTAATATTCAACCAACATAGATAAACAGGTTTAGGGTTAAACCTATTAATTGCATGTTAGTCAGAAAGCGCACATGAATACGATCAGAATAAAGTAGAGGCCTATTATTAGGGCAGGTTCAATCTCTTTTAGGTTGGATTTGTACCTTCATCCCCGAACTACCAGTCATGGTTCCAGAGCTATTGGAGTTGACGACCTCCTGGATCATTAAGGGGTGTAACCTTCACCCTGTGAACGGTTTACAAGTTCCTAAAACTTGTTGGCGACTCTTTTGCTCTAGCTTCCTTCCCTTTGGACGCCACTGTACTTAAGTGTATGATCACAGTGGGGTTCAAGCTAGGGATAATGCTTGAAATATTCCCTACACATGGCCAACTGAGCAAGAAATTCAACCTCATGAAATTGACCAAACTGATGAACCAAATGAAAATCAATACCAAGTGCCTCATGATATCATCATACAAAATACCCAAGCCCAACCATCTGCACAGTCTATGATACCTCCTTTGCAAAACATTGGTTAGTTTGGACCTAGGGTAACTCAGGTGAGAACCAATCATCAAATTCATCAAGAGTGTTTTCCTTTTTTCAAAAGAGAGTGCCTAGAACAACTGCTAAGAGAAAAGGGATTGTGATTAGCACAAGTACAAGTGGGGGGATAGTGAACAACAAAATGGGGATCAGAATAGGAGAAGGGAGGTTACTGTTAGCTTAGGCGAAGACAATGATACTACTAGGCAGGGGTGATAATTGGTGCATAATCAGTGACAGACAAAAGGTATTAATCCTAATTCATTTGTTTGGCTCTAATTCATTGATAATTGGTGCATAATAAGTGCATAATTGGTAGATAATTTAGACACTAATTACTTTGTTTGGCTCTGAAGGGTATTGATCCTGCCATTAGTGAAATATGGCCAAAAGTAGGCAGAAGATACTGCTGCAAGCACTTGGTAAAGAACTACAAGAAGGAATTTCCTGGTTTGCTGATGTTCCAATTGTTTTGGAAGGCTGCTGGAGCATTCAATCCATTCACCTTTAAAAAAGAAATGGAAGCATTGCAGAAGGTCATTCCTTTAGCTCTTGTTTGGCTATCAGAGCTTGGACCACAATCAAGATGGTCAAAGCATGCTTTCAATCCAGATGTGAAGTGTGATACAAACAAATCAAACTTTGTAGAAAGCTTTAATTCTACCTTAGGCATTGATAGATGCAGACCAGTCCTTACGATGCTTGAAGGTATTCTCACATTCCTTACCTTATTTATTTGATTTAGTGTTAATTCAATAGCAGTAATTGCTTATCTATTTACCATTGAAATTGTTTCAGGTATTAGAAGAGTCATCATGGTTAGAATGGCCACCAGAAGGGAGGCATGTGAGAACTGGAGAGATGATGTGTGTCCTAATAATCATGAAAAGGATACAAAGTTATTAGCCACGAATCAAGGACATGCAAAAGTTTGAAGTCTGGAGATGGTGATTTTGAAATACTTGATGGAAGATTTGTGCTTCCAGTGAACCTAAGAGAGAAGACATGTGTATGTAATGCTTGGAAACTTACTGGATTGCCTTGCAAATATGCCATGAGGGCCATTTTGCACTCAAATGAAGACCCTAGGTTCTATATCAGTGAGTGGTATTCTGTCAAAAGGTATAAAATGGCTTATGGCAACTCTATCAAGGCCATACCAGATGTGGAGCAATGGCCTGACAGTCCTTATCCAGAGATTGACCCACCAACTATGAAAAGAGGAATAGGGAGACCTACAAGGAATAGGAGGAGGGAAGAGGGTGAGAAAGCCAAAGGGAAGAGGTCCAGAACTGTCAAGTGCAGCAAATGCCAACAATTTGGGCATAATGCACAAACTTGCCAAGGTAGCTTGACTGGTAAACAAAAGGTGGCCCTAAGTGAAAGCTCTGTAGGTCAGACCAACAAAAAGCAAAGAAACAAGAAGGGAAAAGGGGCATCTATGAGCCAACCTGAACCAGCAACAGTGGCATCACATCCATTAAGAGTCTCACCAAGGAACCAGAGAGCAAAGGGACCTATCTCAGCATCACAGCCAATAAGAGTCTCACCAAGGTCAAAAAGAGCTAAAGGAGGTATCTCAGCATCACAGCCTGCATGATGTGTGTCTTAGGAGTAGTTGGTCAGAAAAGTGCATGTTTTTTTGCTTCTTAATTGACTGAATGTGTCAAACTTCAATATTATGTGTTTCAAGATGTCAAATGTTGTTTTTTTAGACAAAACATTTAGATTATGGGTTGATGTAATGTTTTTCTTTTAGCAAATCAATGAGATATCAGCATTGTTATGATATACAAAAATTGCTTACAAAAATTGACAAAAGTAGTACCAATTTTATTCATTCATCATTCATTAAGCAAACTAAAGTACATCAGTTCCATACCTAATACATAACCTCCAACATCAACATTCTAATTCATACTACTACACCTAATTCATCACTTAGAAACAACAAATAACATAATAAAATACATTATCAAAGCCATCTTCACAATTAGTTTGATGAAATTCACCAAATCATCCAGCCTTGAAGTAACACCAGCAATACCACCTTGTTCAACTTCCAATTCATCACCAAACCTTAATATATCCTCCTCCTTCAACCACACAAAATAATCGCATCCTCTGCACTTGAAAAAAGTCTTCTAGGGTTCTTCGTGGTTTCTGAAATCTTCACCGCAACAACTTTTTGGGGGGGGGGGGGGAACACAGTCGCAGCGCATATGCTTAACCCAAGCAATCCTATCATCCATGATGATTGGCTTCACCGAAGAAGATGAACGACTGTTCTTCATTGCCTCTACAGAGAGAATTTGGGGAAATCGTGAAATTAGGGTTCATAAGAAAGGGGGAAATCGATTTGATAAATATAATAAGGGGAAATCGATTTGGAGGGAAAATCAGGTCTGCCATTAGGGTCAAATTAGTCATTACATCATTAGTTAACCATAGTTAAGCTTAAAATGCCTAATTATATTGCTTAAGGTTACCATTGATTAAACTTTTTAAAACATAGTTCACTAAGGATAATAACTTTTTTTGCATTTTACCACTGAGAATTTTATTTATTAGAGGTCTACCAAAGAGAATTTCCCTTTTTTTTCTGTAATTTAATTTTTGTCGGTAAACCCTAACCACCACCACCTTGTCAACAGACACCACCGGCCTTTCACCACAACCACCTGCCGTTCCCAGGCCGCCGCTTGGTAAGTAGTTGTGTATTTTTTTTAAAAAACCCTAACCACCATACCTTTATATACAAAGACTGAATAACTTGAAGCTACAAGTGAAGAGAAAGAATATATATGAGAGACAGAGGAGAATAGGAGCGAGTGAGAATGTGTCATTCAATAGGAGCGAAGAGTGTGACGCCTAGTGAAGGAGTAAATGAGTGATATTAGTTAGGGTTTCTTTTAAATCTTTTATGACTACTCTGTACATTTCGAATCTAATATCCTACACTTGGTTTCTAAAAGGAAGGAAATATTGACAGTTTGACACCAATGCTCTTCTACACACATGATATCCAAAAGGAAGGTAAGATTGACACAAATTTGGTCATTTATTAATTATCTCGCTAACCTATTACCTAGTCACTCCCATTGAATAAAAATTTAAAGAGCTGGTGTATTAAATTTGAATGTGTCATCTTCAAGATACATGTTAAAATTAGAGAAAGTAATTTAATCACATGCATTGCACTACTTTTCCTTCAATTAGGTTTTTATTTCATTTGAGTTTAATCTGATAGATTTTTAGTGAGATAATAAATTAAGTATAATCTTAGGTGAAAGATTGCTAATTTTTTTCAGCATGATTATTTCCTTTTGGGTTTTTCTTTGAAAGATTTTAATGAGACAAATAAATTTAGTGTTTTACATAAGGTAGACATTATATTAAGGACTATGTTGAGAATAGTTTATTGTATTTAGGTTAATAATATACCATAAACAATATAATATATTTAAAGTCATTTCAAGTACGACTGTTCAATGACATAGTTTCCCCTATAAATGGTATAGCATACTAGCATAGTAATGAAAATCATAAGAAGAAATTGATATAAAAATCATCTTCTACTTTTTAAATTTTTTTATTACTTCTTAACTATTCCCTAGGGGTGCTAATCAAGTTGAGTAGCAATTCGAACTTGACCCGGTTAAAGCTCGGTCAAAACTCGGCTCGAATTGGCTCGACTCGAGATGTTAACGAGCACAAGTTGAGCAAGCTCTAACTAGACTCGATAAGTTCATGAACAACTCAATAATATATTTTATTATTATATAATTTATAACGAAGTTACCATGTTTAAAATAATTTGACATTTAATTAGAGTTAATTTATGTTGATAAAAAAGAAAGAGTAAAGCTTTCGTAACAAATAAATAAATAAAGAAAACTATATAAGTGAACAAAAAAAAAAGGTGGCATCTGACCAAAATCTTAATGAGCAGATTCGCCAGATCGTGAGTTACTTAACTCGATTTGAAACTTTAACAAGCGCGAGTCAAGCAGGTTTATTGACTCGAAATTTTAACGAGCACGAGTTAAGCACATATATAAAAAGTTTTCATGTTAGCACCCTATCATTCTCTAACATGTTCATTATTTTCTCTTGATTTCTTACATGACGTATGTGTATGTCCATTATTTACTTAATTGTCTGTCATCAATCTTTCATAGTCAACTTAGAAAAACCAAACAAAATAAAACATTTTTTTAAAAAAGTTCCTACCAACTTAACAACGAACAAACAACCTTTTTACCGGCTATTCCCAGTCACCTTCTCCATCACGTGCCTCTCATACGATCCTCCCAAATACTCACCAAAAATAAAAGAAAAATAAATAAAAAGTAAAAAATTTGCTGTTACGAGAGAACAAAGTAAAGTATTTTTACGGAGTACTTCTTCCAAAAAAAAAAAAAAAAAAAAAAACAATAAAAACCCAAAAACTAAAAAAAAAAAAAAAAAAAAAAAGTGAAGGCAAATTTTTGCTTCAAATTCTCACTTTTTCATTTTTTTGTTATTTTTTCATTAATATATACAAATAATTTTCAATTCAGTGTTGCTTCAGCTTTAGATTTCGGGAGTGTATTGTTGAAGAAAAGATTTGGGGATTTTTTTGAGCCAGAGTTAGGGTTTTCGGTGAGTATTTTTGTAAATTTTTATATTTTATTGCGTTTGTTTTCTGATTTTGTTATAATTCTCTTTTAATCTTTGCTTTGTTTCTTATTTTTGGATTTTTTTATATATATTATATGTTTGATGTTTGTTGCAATTTATTTATTTTTGCTTCTGGGTAGTATTAATGGAGTTATGAATTTCTGGGTTGTTATTGTTGTATGATTATTTTATTATATATATATATATATATTGATAGGTTTTTGTTGTAGCAAACACGAGGAATTTGAATTTAGGGTTTTTGTAAAGTATCCTATCTCCGTTTATTTGATTCTCGGGTTTCGAATGTGCGCTGAACTTGTTATTAGTGATTTGGGCGTGGAATGTTGCGCAATTTGATCATTTAGAGGTTGATTTGGGTATGTTTTGTGCACTTTGTACTGTAGCTTTGAATTGGGATATTGAATTTTCTGCTATACTTGTGTTGGGCACTGTTCATTTGATTAGCAATTATGGCAGTTTAGCTTTTGTTTTATGGAACTTCATTGTTAGGAGGAAATTTCGAAACGTTTATTACTAATGTGATGGTGAGTATAGATGTTAAGTTCCTGATCTTTGCAGCTCATCCTTGTAGAATAGCTTCTGTATTCTTGATTGCCTCGTAAGTCGTAACGGTGATTATTGTTTGCATTGTTTCTACACTAGGGTAAAGGGTTTCTTTGGTATGTATTCGTGACTGTAACTATCGGTCTTTTTGTGATTGGCATTACAGTGCCTTGTTGTCTTCGATGTAACTGTTTTTCCTTACGTTACAGTTAACAAGAATTTATTAAAGCCTTCTCGTAACACGTGCTGTAATTGCTGTCTTTTCCTGTTTAGTGTTAGTTTCAGTTCATAGAGTTCTGGATATCAATACCCTTTCAGGATTTAGTTTCTGAAAAGGACTATCTTTTTTTGGCTAAGCATTTGTTTTCTGAAGCTAATACCCTTAACTGGTTTTCATTATGAATCTCTCTTTTTTGGGGATTCTTTTCCTTGGTCGGACTAACCCAACTGGTGATTTCTGACAAGTCGTTTATGTGTTTCAACTTATTATTCTTTTGTTATCTATCGATATTTTATTTGTTTCAATAGGAAGCAATTCTGGTGTGAGTGTGTGACTGATTCTGTGGCAACCAACTAGGTTTTTGTGCTGTAGTTGATGACCCTCAGTTGTTAGTTATAATGTTCAACACAGGAACTCACACAAACTTTAGGTGGCTTCCTGATGGACATTTTTGATGCTCAAGTCGATAGCAAATTACATATATGTACAATATAGAGAGCTTCTCGGGTTATTGTATTCGATGGTGAGGATTGTATAGTATGGCTTCATGATGGATTATCCACCCTTTGAAATGGTGGTTTCCTAGACTACTGGGCCTTTTGTTAAAAATTGGCTTCTGAGTCCTCTATGGGGATTGGGGGTTGACACGTCAAGTCTTAATTTAGTAGTTGTTTTGCATAGGACCAATAATGATGGGAACTCTGCATTTGGAACACATGCTTTTAATCTCTGTTTATTTTCTGATATGCAAAGAGCAGAAATGGTAGAATAGTTATAATTAATGTCAAGATATGATAATGAGAGTCAAGTAAGCTTGTATGAAAAATGTAAGCTAGTTATGTTTATGCATTATTAGGATATTGATGGAAGGTCAACTATATACCTTGCACGGTCTTAACTTGGATTTTCAGTTTGATCTACTCTGAAGAGCCCCATAAAACAGTGCTTCAGTGCTTAGGCCAGAAATTCTAGTTAGGAAAACAAATTTAAAGACTAGGCTTTTGCTTCGGTGTTTGGGGTTGCGGAAATGGAAAGTGGTTTATATGCTTGATATTATTGAAAATGCATTCTATCTGGGTTTGAGGAAGCCTAACATAGAATGATATCTTTTGGGAAGGAGGTAGTACTATTTTTTCCTGTTAATGACCTTGTTCATTGGGAGTGAATATTTCTCCCTTTGGTGAGAATATAGCTTTACGAGAATTTTGTAAAGATATAACATACCTACTGATTGGTTACACCTGTCATTCATATATATATATATATATATATGCACACTATTGGCACTGTTGTGCTGAGATTTAGTTACCATTCTGCATGTACTATTGGTATGTACGGCATTTTATTTTACTTTTTTATTTATTTTTTCATTCTGCTTGTTTTGTTGGTATGTATGACATTTTTTTTCTCGTCTTATATCAATCCTTTCTCTTACATTGCCTATTCAATTTATCCGCGGACTTCCAACCGTCTTTAAAGCACATACATGTTAGAATGTTAGCAGAATTGAGTAACTTCTGTGCTTTTATGATCAGATCCATCAAGTCCTGCTTCCTGAAATCCTTTTTAAAAGCACTATAACACTTCTAGCCTTAATTGGGACAGTAGAGTATGTAGCTACTGTTTGGACCTTATATGTCTAAATTCACCTTTTTCAGACCTTCAGTTGTTAGCCCTTGCACTTTAAGTCTTAACTAGCCTCCGCTGTTTTCCTTTGAAAAACAGAATATACTCCTTAGACGATTAATTTCTTTCTATTTGTCAATTTGTCACGTAGGCAGTTAAGTGGGACTCAAGAGTCTGTGAGTAGCTCTTTGTTGTGTGGTGTATCTGCCCCTGAAAGAGATCTTTGTAGAGCATTCTCCTTTTCTGCAAATATCTGTGTACTTTTCTTTCATCCTCAACAATTTTTTTTTATTCTATAGGTGACTGATTCAACATTGTTGGGAAGCTGGACTTCTCTGCAGAATTGTTTGGTGGCACTCTCTCTTTGAATGATGAGTATAAATCTAGTATCATCAGGGTATGTGTATGAAGTTTGGAAGCATTTAAGTGGAATGTGAGCATTATGACACTTGAAGACTTTTTTACCTTGACTGAGATGAAAGATGGGTTCACAGCCCCTGCTCGTGTTGAGGAATTGATTACTGCTATGCAGAAGAAGAAAGATTCTTCAGTGAAGAGTGTTGGTGATGCTACAAGGCAGTGGGCTGCTGTTGCGGGCACAATAGCAGCTACAGAGAACAAGGAATGTCTTGATCTTTTCATCCAGTTAAATGGGCTTTGGTTTATTGATAGGTGGCTAAAGGATGCTCAAGCATTTCCTGACGAAGTGAGTGATTGCTTCGTGGAAGAGGCTATCTCAGCACTGTTGCAAGCAGTTGAGAAACTTCAGGTAGACAATGAGAAGTTGGCTTCATCAGGAATTTGCATTACTGTCAAAAGTCTTTTCAACTATAAAAGCCCTAGAGTTCAAGATAAAGCAAGAGCTCTCTTTGATAGTTGGAGATCTAAGGATGTTGATCTCAAAAGTATGGATGTAGAGAAGGCCCCAGTTTATAATGATCCGAAGTTAGATAATCAAAATGATCCAAAGTTAGATAATCAAAATGATCCAAAGGTAGATACTCAAAATAATCCAAAGGTAGATACTCAAAATAATCCAAAGGTAGATAATCAAGATCTTGAATCTCAGGTCACTGCAAATAATGGCTCCCCAACAAGATCTTCTGGCAATCAGAAGGTTGAAGGTGCTGAAGGGGGAAAAGTTGAATTGTCTAATGATAAGGATGATTTTCAGATGATTCCTAATCATGAAGTTTCTAACACTGGATTCCCCGATATGTCTTCCAAGCTAGAATCGACTGATGGTGATCTTGTCAGGGAAGAAGTATGCCCATCTGATGGAATATTGGATTTGGAATGCATTACATTGTCAAAACAAAGCAAAGATGGGCTTATTTCCGAGGCTTTGAAGGGTGAAGATGCAAAGCATGAAAGTAAGAATGAGTTGTTGCCTGATAGATCTGGTGATATGAAGGTTACTTCTACCTTTGATGTTTCTGATAGCAAAGATATATCTCCAGGAAATGATGCTAAGGCCGTTGAGGAAGCTGTTGTTAAATCTGATATTGGAGCATATGATGTCAAAAATGAATCACCGATGAAAGTGACGTCTTCATGCAATACAGATAGGCCTGTTGAGGAGTCAAGCAATGTGATGGATGATAGTGAGCAAAATGCTTTGGAGCAAGGTAATGGTTCTGCATTGAAGGAATCCAAGATTCAAACATCAACTCTCTCCAGACTGGATGATCTTGATGACCATTCTGAGCTTAAAAGGTATCGCCAAAGTGAGAGGAGATATCTTGGCAGCAGTTGTGAATTTGCAAGACTAACAAAAAACAGCAAAACTACCGATATCATTAGGCAGACGCAAGATATGGACCTTGAGAATGGCACTGTTGATGCTCTAGAAGTTGCTCGGCTTGTTGCCAAAGAAGTAGAGAGAGAAGTAGTTGGTTTTTATGAGCAATCTGGTAGCTCTGCCTCATCTTCTTCTTCATCATCATCATCTTCATCATCATTTTCTTCTTCTGACAGAGTATCAAGAGGTGGTGGTAAGCCACAGGATAGCCCGAAGTCTATAAATGCAGAGCAAGACTTGCAGATAGATGACCCGGCGAACCAGTTATCGGCAACAGAAAACACCCCTGATGCTTCTGGACAGGTTCCTGTCATGTCTTTGACTAATGTAGAGACAAATCCTACAAACCACACTCAAGATGCAGAGTCCTCCTTAGTGACTGGTGTTGCACGGGAACCCGAGAGCATTACAGAGAAAAACGTCTGGGAATTTGATCTCAATCGGGAATTCTCGTCTGAGGATGCTGATCATCAGCTCGATACAAGCTCAAACCCTGTATCAGTTGTTTCTGCATCCAGAGCTGTTGTGGCTTCTGGAATGCCAGCAGGCCCTCTTCAATTTGAGGGAAGTCTTGGCTGGAAAGGATCTGCCGCAACAAGTGCATTTCGACCAGCATCTCCTCGTCGGGCCTCTGATAGTGACAAGGCTCTTTCTGGTGGGGGCACTAGCAGCGGTTCAAGGCAGAGGCAAGATTTTCTTGATTTTGATTTGAATGTTGCTGAACGCGGAGATGATAAGATTGTTAATCCAATGCTGGGTAAACCAAAACAGTTATTACCTAGCCTGCCTTCAGGTGAGTCTTCAGTTGAATTAAGTCCCAAAAGATCTCAGAGGCTCAAATTGGACCTCAACCAAACAGATGATGATGGGGGTCTTCCAGCATGCGATTGGAAAATGGGTGGACTTGTATTCCAACCTCAAATCTGCCAGCGAAGTCCATCGCCTGCTTCCTCTTCATCATGCATGCAGCCTTCAATGAGGAACTTTGACTTAAATGACAACCTTTTCGATTGCAATGATTCGTCAGACCAACCTGTCATTCTTGGCGAGTCTTCTCGTAAAGTCAACCCATGTATGGGACCACCGGATGACACAGTTATTTCGATTATGGGAACCAAGGTCAAGAGGAATGCATTTCCTCCTCAAACTCCGTTGCCTTTTCTGAATGGGAGGGCACCAGAGCCTGTTATGGATGCTAGCTTGTTAAGAGGACCTTTGATGGGATTGGGACCTGCAGTTCCTTATCCACAGTCTGTCTATGGGTATGATGGGCTTGCCATGGGCTCTGCTGTCTCTCTTGCATCAGCACAGATTTACAGACCTGGTGGACCGATTCCATATGTTTTTGATTCAAGGGGAGCTCCTTTTCTACCTCAAATGATGGGCTCTGCTTCAAATGTTCCATCTACCTATTGTCAGTCACCCTTGGTCATGAACATGATGAGTGCAACTCCTGGTCCTACGCATGCTAGTCCTTTGCGCCCTAGTTTTGATTTGAACTCTGGGTTTGGTAATGCTGTTGAAGCTGGAAACCCCGATCCTTCATTTTTTAGGCCACTCTTCATTTCCCATGTCCAGAGTAGGCCGTCAGAAGAGCAGCTGAGAGAGAGTTTCAGACCAATGGGTTCTGGGAACAGTGGTGGAAAACGAAAGGAGCCTGATAGTGGATGGGAGCTTTATCCCACTAACTACAAACATCAACAACCGCCACATTTGTAGAAAGATTTTCGATTGTTCAGGGTCTCTGTCTTTGGTTTTTGGCCTAACAACTGAAGAAAGCTTTACTGATGCATAACATCAGCCTGAAATATGCTGATTCTGAGAGTAGGAGGGTTGGGATTTAGCTTTTAAAAACTGAATAAAGTCCGGATACTATTGGGCTTGATAGTGATTCATGGGGTCAACAGCTAGAGGAGAGGAATTACCAAATTAGGTTTATTGATTTATTTTTATTTTCCATATTTCCCCCCTTTTTTTTTTCTTTAATTGTTTCATATAAGGCCATTGCAAGAATAGAAATATTTGGTACATGTAGCTGTAATGTCTCACCCATACATAGAAATTAAAAGATTTGTTCCTTTTACATTTTTGTCTTGTGTAAGAATTATGTCTTTAAGATTGACGTCAACTATAGTTACATTAATTTACATAGAATCTCACTTCATTTTCAACTTATATTAAATTGTTTATATCAAGCTTGTACTGTATTTACTATGGAATTGTTCATATATTCTAATTTCCTAATTTGACTAGTTCTTGATTACAATCCTCCGTTATAATGTTTTTCCTATTGTGAATTTTCACAGGAGCTAAGAAAATTATAGAGTTGCATTGTAAGGATGGCAATGGGTCCTGGACCCGACCCAGACCCAGACCCAGTTGGACCCGATCCATATTTTAGGGTCTGGGTCCTTAAATTTTAGACCCGATGGGTCTGGGTCTAAGCTCAATGGGTCTGGGTCTAAAAAATGTAGATCCAGACCCGACCTTGATCCATTCCATGAACCTGTATTTTTATTTTTAATTTTTTTTATATAAATAATAATATATATTAGATATTATATTATTAAAAAAACCACTTAATCCGATATACTTTAATAATATACTACGTAATTAGAGGATAGACTTTAGAGAAAGTCTGTACGGCCAAGAAATTTTAGTTTTTAAGATTTTTTTTTTTCTTTACTTTTGAATGAAAAATTATTTGTGTCTCAAAATTATGAACAAGATTTTTAATGCATCTTTAATTATTTTCAAGTATTTTTTTTTTGAACGGATTATTTTCAAGTATTAGTATAGTCATAAATTTATAATATATATGAAAGATCATAAAAAAATTATAGTTAAACTCATTTTGGACCCGTTTTAGACCTGAGACCCGATGGATCTGGGTTTGATTTTTTAGGACCCAGTGGGTCTGGGTCGAATTTGGGTCCACCTCCAAATTTTGGGTTTGGGTGAGGATCTGGCCCAGAGACCCAGATTCGACCCATTGCCATCCCTAGTTGCAATTCCTTTGTATTGTTGTACATTTTTTTTTGAAGCATTGTATTGTTATACATTAATGTGTACTTTTATTGAAACTAGGGAGTCTAATGCGAGCATCGCACGTGATATGGTTAGCCCTTTGAGAAGAATAATTGCAGTTGTATGTCTATCACTAATGCTTTATGACTAATGTATATGGTATTTTGTCGTAATTATTTGCAAAAATGACTTTTTGTTCATGATTTGAGCATTTGCAATGGGAGTACTCCACCCCCATTTTCGAGGCTTTCCAAACGGAGGGTTGCGAGACATTTAGCCTTGTCTCGCAGGGGCATAAGCGTATTTTAATATGTATTTTGAATTTGGTCACCTGGTTTCGCCGTTTCGAGGTAAAGCATCCCATTACGAAGAAAGATTGACATGTCCTTTTATCTTCCTAAAGCCGGGTCTCTGACTCTCTGTGCTCTGTTCATATTTCATCTCTCCTCTATAACCTCATTTTTTCTCTCTCCTCGACGAATTTGTTCCTTCTCCTCGACGAAGTCCTAATTTTTGAGGTTCTCCCAGTTTCCGTCCATCTCCTCGACGAAGAAATATTGTGAATTTGTACACCAAGTCCCTCCATTGTTGGAACAAGTACGTATTTATATGTTTAATTTATGAATTTTGAAATGTACAACTTAGGGTTTTACTTGTAATCGTCGATTAGTTAGCGTGTTGCTTTGTTGAAATAAAAGTTAGGGTTTATTGCGGTTTTATTTGTGAAATTCTTGAAATTATTTAGTATTGGGGAGGAAGGGTCGCATTTTGGGATATATGTCCCAAATTGGGAAGAAATGGACGGAAATCTATATTGTAATTGGGAAGATGTGGTTTTAAATTTTGCAAATAAGGTTTAAATAAGGGGAAATTTTGCATGTAAGGTTTAAATAAGGGAAATTTTTTGCCGTTAGTGTTTAATTCGGTTGTGTTGAACGATAAGGGTTTATTTTCCATGAAATGTTTTCCAATTGGGAGAAATAGGGTTTAATTTGGGGGAAGAAATTGAATAAAAAGTTAGCGTTTTTTGTTTTTTTTTTTTTTTTTTTTTTTTTTTTTGTTTTTTTTTTTTTTTTTTTTTTTTGCAGTAAAGGGTTGGTTTGGCCTTTTATCCGTATGAATGCGTTTATGGTGTTGATGGTGTGGTATCATTGCGTGTTATGTAATTGAAGGAATATTGTCCGCTTTATTTATGTTTTATTTCCTTAGTAATTTCTAAGCAATTATTTCATTAGTAATACATGCCTTAGTTATTTCCTTTCAGGTTTGTTATTTGTAAGCAATTATTTGTTGTTATGCCTTAGTTACCTGTTTGATGTAATAGATGATTATTAGAAATAAACATGGGCAACGGGTCGTGCCGTGCCGCCGCGGGCCGTGCCTGGCCGTGCCGTGGTGGGGGCCGTGCTGTGCCGTGCCGTGCCGGCTCCGCGGCGGGCCGTGCCGTGCCGTGCCTGAAATTGGCACACCCCAGCCCACGGCACGGCCCACGTGCCTTACGGGCCGTGTCGTGTCGGGCCGCGGGCCAAATCGTGCCACCCTTTTTAATTTTTTTTTTAATAAATGAAAAAAAAGAATTAAACGATATATATATTTTTTAGTACAACTTAATATATGTGATTAATTTATGTTTATGTTAATATAATTTGATTACATTTTTTGAACAACTTTATTTTAATTTAGGTTATATAAATTATTTATCTAATTAATAATTATGTTTAAGTTTATATAAACAAATAAAAACAATTTTATTAATTTAGCAAAAAACAACAATGCATATAATAAAAAAAAAATACGAGTGCGATAATCCGAAAACACAAAAAATTGAAGAATAACTTATTTTATTATATGACGGTAGCCGGTACGATAATTTAATAATACAAAATAATTAAATTATTTTATTATATGGCGGGCTCGTGCCGTGCCACGTGCCGTGCCGGCGTGCCGGCCACCGTGCCGCCCATCGTGCCGCGTGCCGTGCCCGTGCCAAAACTATTTTTTTGTTCACGGCACGGCCCACAGGTGGGCCGCCGTGCCGTGCTGGCGTCGTGCCGGGCCCGTGCCGCCCGCGTACCGGCACGGCCCGTGCCCACCTTTAATTAGAAATGATTTTGATTTATTGTGTTGTAATAGAATTGTCATGCAAAATCTAATGTAATAGAATTGTCATGCAAAAGCAATTAGTTTGTTGTTATGCCTTAGTTACCTGTTTGATGTAATAGATGTTTATTTGAAATGATTTAGGTTATTGTAGACACCCATTTGTGTCTCCCCAAAACCAAACCCAGTGATGAGTGCCTTTCACGTTGAATCATAATCGAATGAAACGAAAGTGTGGAAAGGTCTAGTGTTGCGGAAAGTTTTATTTCTTTTCTTCTCTCTGTTTTTGAAAACTTTATTTTAAGAAAACAGCCAATCCAGTTTGTTTGGTCCATGATATGGGTCCAATAGTGGTGTAGTTGGATGGGGTTTGCAAAGACCTTTCCAACGATATATTATAAGCCCAATTCCGATGAATATTGAGGAAGTTATGACCAATTTACTAAACTGGGCCCGGTTTAAGTTTTAAGTACGGCCCAATGATCTAGGGGAGGGCCTAATATGATTTATCATTCCTAATGTAATTAGGAATGGTTTTGGTCTTCTAGAACATTCTAGAAGGTTCTTATCATTCTTAATTCAATTAGGATTCTTCAGAGTTTTAATTAGATCAAATAGCATTTTCGACTGAAATTATATTATTTTATCTTCCAGTACAGTAAAATTATCAGATTTTCGAAAACGCGTTAAAATCCGGTTTGGCGTCCAACCCCAGGCCTTGGCGCCTGGAATCAGGATTGGCGCCAGAGGCCAGCCATTGGCGCCTGGCGCTAGCCACTGGTCCTGGCGCCAATGAGTCAGGGCTGGCGCCAAGTTAGTTTTGCGATTTTCAGACTCTGTTTTGATAAATTATCTTTTTTGGCTGATTTTCTCTATAAATATCGTATTTAAAACTCCGGTTTCATTCATCAACAATCACTTTTTCAATTACCAATGATCAATATTCATTGACCATTAATCAACTCTCTTTATTAACAAACCGTTCATCAATTCTTTTCATCATCTTCATCTCTTTCATCAATAATTCTTAACATTTATTCATTCTTCCTTTAATACTTTGCTTTTTAAATACAAAATTCCGCATTCACAAGATCTAGAAACACCTAGCCATATTCGAAGTTGCCTTCGCCCTAGACGTGAAAGGTTTTAATTTCTGAGGGTTTGGTCCCAAATCTTTCTTTCAATTATTTAATTTAATTGTTTGATTGTTATTTTTCCTTGAAGTTACTAACGTGTGTATTTTGTAATTAGAAAGAGGTACGAGGCATCCAAGTAAGTACTTTGATGGTTTAATTGATTTTATGATGTAGATATCATGCTTAGATTGTTATTTATGATTCCTACTATCATGTCTAGGGTATCTTTAATTTCAAGTATGATTAAAAGTATGATGCTTCCTATGTTCTTCCTAATATTTATGATTATTATGATTATGATTATTATTATTATTCATGATATTGATTATTTATTATGTTGCTTGATATGCATATTATTTTATTATTGTTATTGCTTGATCACCTTTATTGCAGGTTAAAGGGAATTGGTATTTGCAACCACGCTTAATAAGATATTAATAATCTTGTTTAGGGTTAATTGTGATTATAATTCAAGTGATCGCCAATAATAGTTTATTTGTGCATTAATATTCAACCAACATAGATTAAACAGGTTTAGGGTTAATCCTATTGATTGTATGTTAGTCAAAAAGCGCACATGAATACGAGCAGAATAAAGTAGAGGCATGTTATTAGGGCAGGTTCAATCTCTTTTAGGTTGGATTTGTACCATCATCCCCGAACCCTTATTTGGTTCATGACCTTATGGAGTTGACGATCTCTTGGATCGTTAAGGGGTGTAACCTTCACCTCGTGAACGGTTTACAAGTTCCTTAAAAACTTGTTGGCGACTCTTTTGCTCTATCTTCTTCCCTTTTGGACGCCACCGTAATTTAGTGTATGATCACAGTGGGGTTCGAGCTAGTGGGATTTTTAAAGGCTTGAAATTATTCCCTACGGTTATATTGTGTTGTAATAGAGTTGTCATGTAAAAGCTAATGTGTGCTTGCAACTTATGAGCAGTTGGAC